TTTACCCAACTCATGGTCATATGATACACATACATTGCGCCTATCACATGTAAACCACGTACACTGTAAAGTTTGTAAATGACAGTTGGCGAACGTGAATCGGCTGTGTAAATAGAGATTTGAACAACGCGACGACGGTGGATGTGCAAAATCAACCCATGCTTTCGAGATGTGAGATACTGGAATATATTACGCGATGATCTGCGCTGACCTTTCACGTGCCAGTAGCTCATGCTATCTAGTATAATTGCCAGGGACAATGGTCAAACAGAACAGTAATTCTGTTGTTAATGATTGCACGATAATACGCGGAGATTAAGCGATATTTGTTAATTATACTTTGCAGCATCGACAAGTCGTCAGAAGAAATTTAATACAATTATTTTATTCAAATCTTGTGGACCGTAGATTAATTAACATAAATTTTTTAAGGAAAGATACGAGTATATCTTTACTGATACGACTGTTTCGAATTAAAATCTACATTAAAATCTATGTTTCAGAAAAAAATCAGCAAATTTTTATCATCGTGTCAACTCACTGCTGTCACAAACTCTTCGTCGGTTTACGCGCACAAGAGGGACACTGTGAGCATAAAAAGTTATCACAGCTGAGACATTTTGTTCACTTACACGTTACTTGATAAGCCAAATCCTCAAATGCCTCACGGGTCTGCCCATTATTCTTCAAGCGTGCTAATGTTCCGCTCGTGAGACGATCCAATGCAACGTGACATCTCGCTACGACGCCCCGGGGCGCAACGAGGATTTTCGTCGCTTTATTCTCTTATGCGACAGTTTACTCGCTTTCCCAAAACGGCCAACCGTCGTGCGCCTCTCTTCCTTGATTGCAGCTATCGAGGTAACTCTTTGCATAATGCATATCAGCCTAACACCGGGGAAATGAAGAGAAAGAGGAGGGAGAGAGAGGGAGAGAGAGAGAGAAAGAGAGAGAGAGAGCAACGGGCGCGATATAAAGGTACGCGTTGTACCAGAGTGCAATTTAAATTTTCGGACTGACTTGCCACAGAACGGGAACTTTTTCAATGTATATAGTTTTTAAAAGCACCCGTGTCCTGTTGCCTGCCCTGCATAATGCAAAATAGCTTCGTATCCGCAACGTTTTACCGGCGCGTTGGATCGCCACGTACCGCCGGCTATCTGCCAGTTCGTGAATTTGTACGGACGTGGGATACGCACGGCGGGGTCACGTTGCATTGGAGGTCACCATTTAGCGTGACGTTTTCCTTTTTCTCACCGCCTCCCGTCGCGAGGCGCTTTAAAACCGAGCGTTTAGATTTACGACTCCGACTCTCCGACTGTATCGCAATTTCATGCTCCTTTTTTTTCGCGGGCCGATTCGGTGAAAGGATACTGGACCGTTTTAGATTCACACATTAGACTTTCATATTCGCCAAGCGCAAGTGTCCCAGTTCTTCTCCCGTTTTCCGTCGTGAATAGAAACGTTGGCTGGAAAAACGACCGATAAGTGTCGAATTACGACCACAGGCGCGGAATTTCCAAGCGCGCGTATTACGAAAAGTCTAGACACCGAAAACTCGTGGAGCTTAAATATGTCACGAGAATCAACCAGATTTATCTCTCAAATTATATCATTCGATATGCTTAGGAAAAAAAAAATCTTCAAATCGATTAAAAATATTATCGCGTCGTAAAAAAAAGTAGGTTAAAGTAAACAAAATCGCAAGGAGACGAACAAATGAGGGAAACGTTTCAATTGATTGTCGCAATTTACCTTCGTTATGATTGGTAATCACAAACGTGCTGAAGAAATACATAGAATTGGATAATTCGTTGATAAAATTATCAATTATAACTCATTTTAATATTAATTACAAATTGCAAATTGTAGATGTGAATCAAAAAGAGATCATATAAATGAAATTAAATTAATAAATTGGCATTCCACTTAATTAACACACTCATCGAAGCCATTAAAATTCTACGGAATGATGAATATGTTTGGCTGATACCGAAAATACTAGTAACTATTTATTTTTCCTAATAGTAAAAAATATCAACGTAATAAAGCAGATACGAATACTTTTAAATTAAAAATAACTTCTATCTAATTTGCAGATAGCAAAAAAGGTATACATTTATTTTATGAATAAACTATTTACTTTTTTGTCCTTATCCAAATGTCTAAAGTTAATCAATTAAATTTTGCGACATCACGTATAATAACGGTAATAATGCGAACAATAAATTATGAATTGAGGGTAATATTTAAATAAAAATGTATAAATTTTATAAAATGGTTAAAAAGAGGAAGACTCGCATTAAATATTAATTTACGAGATTCATTATACTAATGAGCGTTTGACGCGGTATAATGCCGTGAGTATAATTATAAAAACTCGCGTGTACGTTCTGGAGAAGGATAATTCACCGAATAACGCTTTCAGCACGGATTTGACATCTGAAAATACGGTTCTCCACGAATGACTACCTCGTTACTGTCGCGTTATAAATAGATCTCAACGGCCTTGGTCAACATTCTTCGGGGTCGTCGACTTCAACCGGCACCCTCACGCATCGTGAAGATGTTTTCTCGATTATATTGAAATTCCCCGTAGAAATCACAAACGGGACTCTCGATGAGAATCTCGTGTTAAATGGGCAAGCAAATGACATACGCTTCTTCAGAAATAACTTCGCTTATGTAATATTGAGTGCATAATATTGAGTTATATCAAAACTCATACACTTTATTTCGCAATTCTAAAGTGAAATATGAAAAGAAAACGATTTTGCTGAAGTGTCTAAAAATTTAGCCAGATACACATCTGAGAAAATAATTTTTGCTACACTATTAAAGTAATTATGCGGAAATTTCAAGCATGATGAATGTTGCGGAAAGTTTTCACATTCTAGCAATCAGTCTCAGCGTCATACGTAATTATTTTGATGTCCAACAAAATTATTTTCAGATTTGTATTTAGCTAAAATTTTAAATACTTTAATAAAACCTGTCTGTGTGAGAAAACAAAAAATATTGATGCAGTAAGAACGAAAATTACAGTCGACATTATCTCTAATGTCCATCTCTACTAATTTAAACTAACTTTAATCTCGGTTTAACTTGTTACTTTTGTATGTTTCCCCTTGGTTTTCTCGCATCTAACAAGAATTAGAAAAAATAAAGAGTAAGTAAAACCGAGATTAAAGTTACTCTACATTAGTATAAATAACTCTTATGGACATAAGAATTTTTTATTTCCAAATTCGATTGATATATTACTAAAGTTAAAAGTTATCGAATGTTAATCAAGAGATTTTCTATTTATTTACACGTTAAATTTAATTCGACAAGATCTCTTAATTTTTTAGTACTTTTTCTAGTAGTAAATTTAATGATAAAACGTTTATTGTTTCTTTTCTCTCTCAATTACACAGACTCAACTGTACAGAGGTTTTTTAAAACTAGAAACTTCTTTGTAGTCTTGACAAAAAAAGCAAAAAAAAAATTGAATCAAATTGTATACAAAGAATTAATCATATTTCACTCGCTGGTTTCTAGTTTCTTTCTGCGAAACATAATTGAATTAAGATTTAATAATCTCACAGAAGATCGCTAAGTGGACAGCTTAGTACCAAAGATTGAATTTTGCTAGCGGTCACAAAGTACGGTCAGAAAATTACCGTGCTTGTTCCTTTCCGTTCTACATCTTCGTTGAATCGAAAAATTGTCCCCGGATCTCATTCGCTTCCTTTTCGAATCTAACGTGCTCGCGAATCGGTAGTCCGGTAGTGGATCAGCCTCGTGAATTCACCTCTATGCGCGATCGGAAAGATATTTCGCGATCTTCCGACAATTCCGTTAACGACAATTCAATTGCGGGACTGCAGACGCAATTAACATGATTGTAACATTGTTAAAAAACTAACAGACCATGTTAAGATATAAACGCAGTAGCGCGGCAATAATACAAATTTTTTTATACGAACGGCTTTAGCAATAAGTGTTACGTCATTACGATATCGCTCCAATTTATCGGAATTATTGAGCGATATATTATGTAACGTAAACTGACTATCATTGCTTGGGTTGCAACGTGATAGCAGAAAATCGATTTCAGCCTGTAAACTACTGCGTTTTATCTTATCATAGGATACAGTCACAATTGTAAAACTTAATTAACCAGACGATGCACCATTATATCGGCAGTTCCTACTTCATTATTTTTTAGACTAATATAATAACACTAAGTTCATAATTGTTGTCCAAATATAAACTATATTAAGGCTGCAATACGTGCGTAAAACCACAATTTTTAACACCAAAATAATAGTTAAAAAAAAATCATTAATATAATGGCATATCTTCTGTCCGGAATATTTTTGTAACTGACATACAGAAAAATACACACTATATATGCAAATAATTACTTCAAACATTTCAAAAGTTCGTACATCTATTATGCAAATCTATTATGAGTTCATCACAAACATGAAGTCGCTCCTTCAATCAATTCATAATATTCTTTAAAAGAAAAATTCTTGTTTATAATACATACGATCATTAATTAATTTTATAAAAATTTGTAATACATATGTTTTAAGATTATCATCAGAAAAATATTTTTGTTAGGGACAACTGTTACTTAGAAGAAAAAAAGTAAATTGAGTAGTCACTTTTCTTATAGCGAATTCGGTCACTTGCATAACACTACGTTAATGCATAATAAAAGTTGCCGTATATAAAATTAGCGAAGTTAAATGTAAAAACATATAAATATTTTAGAGGAATAAATACTTAATATAATGATACTATCACGTCATATAATATAATATACATATACAATTATTTCATATTGTCAAAGTTAATTTATTGCACTGTATTTAGATATTTATATAAAGTAGCTTATAATGTGCATTAATCCAATGTAATGCGCGGGATCGAAGTTATTATTAACAACAGAATGATATTTTTCTGTGTGCATAGAGAATCTGTGATTAAAGATTTCAAAATTTTACCCATTTCCGGAGACACAGAAGAAGGTCCTCTCATCAATCTCGGTGAAATCTCGGTAATATCACAGGTTTTATCACAGAACGATGGGCAGTATTAGATTTGGTAAGACGTCCAGGTATTTCTCTCAAGGCAAGAGATCAATCACACGCTGTATCGTAATCCTTTCCAGCTATGAAATTTCTGAACTCGTGTAAACGATAATAATCCCCTCCGGTTTGGCTCACTGAAACGGCCAGCAATTACCGGGTCCTCGCTAATTCTCGCGTTGAAGTACAACGTGACACGAAGGGACAAGGTCGATGATCGGCGCTGTGCCGTTTCGTCCGGCCGTCAAGAGCTGTTATCTTTGTCGCAGCAACGCCGACGTTTATTGTCTTTCGTCTCCCTTCTTTCGTGACGGCACGTGATGAACGAATCCACGGAGGTTTCGCGTGCAGATTCGAAGTTCGATCGTCGATGCAACACAGTCGGTGGACGACCGTTTCCAGCACGATCGCACTGTTCCAGCCAAATGCAGATTGCGTCTTAAAAGGTCACGCGAAGCTGTTGCATGTCCCGACGAGGGCGAGCCGGCGAAAGTCGAGCGTTGGCGCGCCGCGCGTTCCCGATTTTATCAGCCGATTATTAACAGCGACGGTTTCGCGCCGTTTCAACGTCGAAACGTTGGAGCGCAACGATTAGCGTCCGATTGTACCTCGGACGTGTCCAGCCGGGCGCGGCAATAACAACAGTGATAATTGTCGATTATCGACGATCGCAGTACAACCGTGTTGAAATGCAACTCCGGTCAACGGGAACGGACTGGATTGACAGACGCACCCTGCGCGAACGAACTAGCGTGGCGGTTTAATAAAAAAAAACGCAAAAAAAAAACGACTGGCGACACCCGGCTGTGGCACGCGCTGCCACGTCACTCCATTCGCGTGTAATCGCTGGCGTGAATTCACCGGCGGATATATGTGTGGTTATGTGCGTGCGCGTATGTATGAAGTTAGCCGTGAATGGGGCGCGTACGTCACACTCGCTGATTCTCTGCTTCTGCAGGCTCCAACGATTCTTCGGAGCAACGAATGCTAATTGAGTCACGAGCGCGAGACGATCGCGAGAGGAAAATCGCGCCGTCCGTTGATTCTTTCGCGTTTTGTCTTTTTCCCCTTTCGAATTCCGTCAAGAGGTACGGTCAAGAGAGTCAGTCACAACAGAAACGAAACGCGTAAAAGGGCTCGCCGCGTGCAACACCGCCGAAATCGAAGGAGCAGCTCTTTACCTCCGGGTAACACGTTGGGCGCTCGCGCGGAATGTCGGGAACGCTCGGAATGTCGCGTAGCAACTCTTGAATACGTCGCGATCTCTTCTTTTCCGCAAACGGTACGGCCACCGCTTTCTCACACCGTCGCGATCTCGCCTTTCCTTTTCTCTCTCTCTCTCTCTCTCTCTCTCTCTCTCACTCACACGCGCACTTTGCACTCAACGGCACTCACGACGCACGGTATCTCGATTACACTCGACCGCTTCCTCTCACACGGCGCTCCGTCGCGACGCGAATGAGAGTCGGGTGACGAATTAAAAACCGAATCGAGTTAAATGTACGCGCGCATTCGCGTCCGCTGGAGCACTGACGCGCGGCACCGAACCGAACTCCACAAGCAACTGCGGCCGACTTCGGTCGGAGTACTTCGGCGGCTCCGTTCGCCAGCCGAATGGACCCGAGGTGTCACGAAGCACCCGTCCATCCGCCACAACGTGCGCCCCGACGATCGACGACACTCTAGTCTCGACCTCGGGTCGAGACGGTACACCAAGTGAGAATTCCGTGAGAATTCGGGACCTTGAGGGGAAAACCGTCTCGCTTATTGTAAGGTATCGATCCACTTAAATGCTTCGTTGATTAATTGGAAGAAAGAATTTTACGAATTGACCGAAGAATGCTGCAAAGTATTTGCAGCGTGAAGTAGATCGCACCTCATAGAGATAATTCGTATTAACTGCGGGTGCTTTTTAATTGTAAAATCACTAGACACTTTCGTGCACTTTCGACAACACACAAGTTGCGTTCCACAATTGCTAATCGTGGAACGCAGCACCAACATTATACATCCGTACTCAGCCCGAGAGCTGCTAGTTGGCTGTGTATTTTCTAGTCACAGTGACATGTTACTAATCGCAGCGGTTATAAATGAGATTAGAGAACGTTGAATGGCTGGCATTTTGCTTTTTTTTTTTTATTTAATACAGACGGAAAAAACTATTTTAATTCAACTCTATCCGAAACCGTGCACAGCATACACATGCCGTTCCAATTGAATCTTGCACAATGCAACACTTTTTATACATTTCTGTATATGTTTGTGTATTCCTGTGTACGTGTCAAGCAATTGGAAAGCATCCATCCTGTGATATAACTCTCGACTACAGCAACGTCACTTGATAATAACAAATAAATAAGTTAAAAGGGTAAGAGAACTTGCTGAACTCGCAGAACTTGTTACGTAAAAAAAAAAAGCAAAGTAAAGAGTTTAATACAATAAAGCTTCGATTGCATAATAAATATGTTAAATTTTTATCTTCATCTTACTCACAATAAATTAAATTATCATTATCATTAATATTTTTTAAATTAAATTATCATTATCATTAATACTTTTTAAAAAATATGTGCAATATTAATTACGTAGTTTAATATATTTATTATTATAATATTATGTAATTGAAGCTTTATCGCATTAAACTTCTTTCTTATTTTATATTTTTCTTACTAAATTTTTTACGCAACAAGAGTTCTGCCAATTAATCCTTATATGTACTTTTTAATTCATTTTATTATCATTAAATATTTAGAATTTTTTCTTTGTTTTTTGAAATAACGTAATTTAATAACTTAATTAAATCCGAAGCAAAAAATTTTAGCGATTGCACGATTGGTACTATAAACTTCTAAACTATAAGTGAAAAAATTTTGATTATTGTTTTATCAATCATCATAAGGTAAAAATTTATTTGCATTCTTCAAACAGGATGCTTTAAAAATTGGTGTAATTTTTATAGCTGCAATTGAGAGTTAATCCGTCTAATATTTCAGAATATCCGGAGCATCGATCCCACCTCGGTCCATTTGATACTCCGAAACATTTCAACAGCAACACACGAAATTATTAATACATCATCAATTTTTCCTACTCGCTCAATATGCTTCAATCAAAGAGTGTAGCTAAAGCGTAAATATTTGAAAATTTATCTTGGTCGCATTGGTAGCGTTGTGCATCAGTAGACAGCTAAAGCTTAAAGAATAAAATCATATGAAGCAATTACGGACGATCAATCAGACTCCATTTCATATAATGCGAATTCTATCGGTCATCTAATTATTCATCACAAGTCTCAAATAATAATCCCATAATCCTTTGCATATTACATTCCATAATGCCAATGACGAAACGCGTTATCGATAAATATTATTTATTAAAGTGCAAATTCATCTAAAACGTCTATGACGATATTACAAGAATAAATGTCCGATTTAAATCTGGATCTACATCGAGAAATTGAAACGATAATAGCTGTTCGGAATCCGACTCTCACGTTGCGCAACGTCTTCATGCACGATGGTCGTCAATTATCGTCGTTGCATGCGCTTCGCGTTGGATTAAAACTGGCACGGCGATGCCTGGTGCGTGATGGAAATCATTTTCACGCCAAGCCCAAGATTTTCGTGCCTCGCACCCGGGATCCAGTACATGTCGTATAGTCTCAATAGCGTACCTATAATGTAAGAGGAATACGTGGGCACCGAATTCGCGCTACGCTTCCTCAGAATCTAGTTAACTCCTCGCGGTTTGCCGAACTTCATTCTAATAACAAAGCGCACGCGAGCCTATCTAATAACCCTTATGATTATATCTTTATTAAGGACCGTCCGAGCATCGAGATATACCGCTGCGTTATTAAGTCGTCTATATAAATATCCATCATAAATGTTTACACACGTAAACATTAACGTTCATTAATAATGTCACGGAAAAGCTATTGTCAATCAAATATCATTAATTTCTTTCTTCTTTTACAGAAAGATTTCATTTTGTAGCATACGATTAAGATTAGGGAATATGATAGTTTTGTCCTCGTTGCGAAATGCAGCTTTTTACATTAAAATGATGTACTGATTATGCACGCGATTATTAAGATTTTTATTTTAAATAAGTAAGGAAAGGATCAATACGGTCGAGGCTAGATTTTAATGCCTAATAGTATTGTATTTGTGTATGTAAATTCTAAATACATCTTAAACTGTGCCGCTTACTGTCGGATTTGAAACTCAATCATAAACTGAAGTTGAAATAATAATATCATAATTAAATTGAACGTTGATTTGGTAATGATGGTAGCATTTCAAAAATTTGTAAAACAAACAGCCAGAATTCATGCAATTTTTGTTTTAATGCATTGATTGGCTGCATTTTACAATGGTACAAACTACGTTTGTTCACTTTTAATTTTCTATCAAAATTCCTGCACATATATACGTATGTACGAAAGAGACTCGGAACAAAATTTCATTACACACATAAATCCTGCTTAACATTGGTAATTTCAAACTCGCACAATTTCGTTTTTCTTCGATGCTTATTTTCCGCGACGGAAGAATTTAATTGCCCGCAACTCGGACTGCATAAGATCACACATGATCATTTCAGGGAGAAAAATATTATCAAAAGCCTCTGGATGAGATTACAAAATCCGGATGACCGGATGTACGCTCGCGGATTTACATTTTCATTAAAACCCTGATTGCAACCGCGGGCTTCTTGGGCGTTGTTGAAAGCCTGTCATCGTGTAATAAAGCACTTGGAAAGCCCCCTTTCTTTTTGCAAACCGCCGACACATTCCAACTTTGATCTTCTTTCCAACAACGACCTTATTCTCTATCTTCTCTCCGCTTTCCTGATGGTCCATCGACTTCTCTCGCACGAGTTTTCCCCGAACCTGTCTCCCAAATGATCTCCCCCCTTCTCCTCATAAAAAATACAATATTTTCCTTTCATTTGATCAGACAACCTTCCCTCTCTCCCCTCTCTTATTCGTCGGTCTCTCCGTGTCTGTTCACCTCTTTGTGTGCCTGGCGGATCTGTAAGTTTAATTCGACGCGGAAGTCCAGGCGAGTCTGCGCCGCAACCGCTCGCTCTGGGCGACTTGATTGCTTTGTCCTCTGAGACTCTAATATGAATTACAAACCTGCTCCTTGACTTCTCCACTCTCGTTCCCTCCTCAATCCTCACCCAAACCGTTATCTCATCGTATTTCCCTGCCGACTGCGCATTCGCGTAGAGAAATGGGATGGTTACAAGGACATCATGTTTTGTTACCAGAAACGTAAATTCAAATGAAAGACAACTTATATATAAATACTATTCGTGTTGTACTGTCGTTTGAACATGAAAAATATCATAAAGAACGCATCTGCATTCGCTTGTCAGTGCAAAATTGCGAGCATAATAAAAATACGTCTTCGTGATCGATACTTATGTTTCTGCAGTACAATCGCAATTTGCAGTGTATACATTGCATGGAAACGATAAAAAAAAGCTCCTGACGCGTTCAGACATGCGCGTGTCCCTTTTACGAGTTCCGCAATGTCACGGAAACGCATCTCCGGATGCGAGAGCGATAAAAAGAACCTACCGTTCATGACGATCGTATTTTTGCAACGCAGACAAAGACGCAGGAGACAAACAAAAAAACACATCGCACTTTCGAACAATAAAATTTCTATGTTCGGTTTTTATAAACTCTACGTTCGTCGCACGGATATTACGAAACACAAGAGCCATAACACTCCAGCAAACGTTCTACAAATTTAAAAAGATTGCTATCATTAAAAGAAAGTTTGATGGCGTGAAAATACTGAAATATAAAAGTACAGCGATACGACACACAAAAAAAAAAGAATAAGAATTTAAGACAATTAGAACGCTATTTTTCAAAATTTCTATTCTTTTTTATACGAGATGTTAAGATTTATGAGAATCATTGTAAAAAGTAGACCCTAAGAAATCTGATATTCTTATATCAAACTTTCATGGAGGATCTGTGGAAATCTATTTAGGATGGAACAGAGAAACCTCTTCATAGATATGCGATTACGATGTGAAAGAAGACGAATATGCAAAATAGAAGCGGCCTGTAAACGAAAATCTATAGAAATATAGAACTATGAAATTGCTATTCTCCATTTTCTGGTATGGTTTCGGTGATGAATTACTGAACAAGAACAAAAATGTTTGTATCTTAAGAAATTCCTGTCTTCTTTATCTCTATGTTTTAATGGTATTAAGTAATACTAAAAAATAAATTACTTTTATACATGTTAAGTATACAGATATATTATATAAATCTTTAAGAATATAAAGTTATAATTAGTAAGCTAGTTTTCTTGTATTTTAATAAATATAAAGTACGTTAAATAATATAAGTATTATAATAATTTTTTAATATATAATTGTAATATATTACTAGTAAAATAATTTGGATTTTATGTTATTGTAAATATAATTGTGAATTTATTGTGTATTGTGTTTAAGCAATTTTTATATGGATAACAAATATTAATTGATTAAAAGAATTACACATCAAATATGTGTCATGCGTATA